TTGACGAATTTAAACATACTGTTCTAACTCAACATTTGTTGTTCAACTTTTAAAATAAAGTTCATAAGTTTGAGCTTTTTGACTCATGATATTTAGTTTACACAAAACATGAAGTATGCTGTATATCAATTTGAATAGTTCATATTTGATCAATCCAGTTTGTGAATAAAAGCATTTTGAAAAAAAATCAATCACTATGAGTAACTTGGCTATATTCTACTATGCCAGAATAACCGAGATATAACAAGTTGCAATAAATCAAGTAATAATTAATAATAGAGATGCCATAAAATAAAGGAAATACACTATGAACAAAGAGATATAATTTTAAGTATCATAATTTTATAATAAGCAAGCAAAAAATATTTTTGTAATTGTAGGCTATCTAAAATAAATTATAGAGTTCATTAATTTGTTTTTTTTATAAAAATGCTACAAATCCGATATAATGCAAGTGTATAAGAAAATCGTCACTTCTACAATTTTGTGATTTATAAAGGATAATTTTGATTTCAAGAATATATGAATTTCAAGAATGAAGAACATTATAAGTTTAATATTGAACGCTATTATTTAATTAAATTTTTTTGAATTTGACAAAGGCGACTATAGCAATTACTGAAGAAAGAAATGCTTAAAATACTTAACTGCGTTCACAATAAAATTAATAAATATTGTAGAAGTCGTACACATATATTGTTTATTCAAGAGACTAAAAATTAAGGGTAATAATCTTTTTTTTTATTGAACAGCGAGCGAATTTTGAAGATTCTATGAACTGTTAAGATGATAAAATTATCTAGCTACGTCGGTTTTTAATAGATGATCTCAACGGATTTGCCATCTCTATGATGAATTTTATTAATACAATTTCTGTAATGATATGATGATATTGCAGCAATTCCCGATAACAGCTCTTTTTACACGTATTGCTATCTATATTTCCAAGTGAAAACCGATGTCACCACTGCTTGACATCAGGCTGCTCGAGACGAGCATAGAACCTGTGACCTCTGATTCAAATCCCACAAAAAAGCCCAATAATCAATCTTAAAGAAGTGGCGGGGTTACAATTCGAATCTCCGGCAAGAAGAATTAAAGTAAGAAGAGCTTAGAAGATGAAATGAGAAGATAGTAAAAAAAGAAGAAAAAAGAATGAAGATAAGTTAAGAAGTGTAGAAATAATAAAATTATATGAAGAAGATAGTGTGAAATTAGAGATTGTATAGGATATATGATTGTATAGAATAATGTAGGTGGCTAAAAGTTCAAATAAGCGAGATCAATAAACAAATCTTAAAAAAAAAATAATTAAAAATTTGTGCTTGCAATAACATTCTCACTTGCAACATTCGTATCAGTACAGTTACAAATACACTATGTCGAATACCAGAATAGTGATAGACAATGTACAGTGCGATGTAGCAATTCGAGATCTCCATTTATCACGTTTATCATAAAATATTATAATGCAAAATTTCGCATAAACCATACATGGAAAATAGTTGATACTTTGTGTTCGCAATAACATTCTCACACGCAACTTGCGTATCAGTAGGTTGTTATTTCGTTCGGATATATCCCATGATTACGGCCTATTACCGCGCGCACAGTAACCCCGCATGCTCGCGGCAACCGCGTTTGTTTTAAAAGTCACAGCGGATTTTGTAATTGAGTTTTCCTTCCTTCCAATATATGTATCTGACCAAGATAAGGCAAAAGCGGCCATTCGAGATCTAATTGCATCGGGAAAATACTGCAGATTAGAGTTTTCTTAATGAGATTGATAAAAGATTCAAGTTTTTTTGCAGATATCCATTAGTGATAGCGTTACTTGCTTCAATGTACAAGTAAAATTAAATCATATATTTTATATAGATAACATATATAAATTTATATTAAATCATGCTTAGCAATATAGATAATCATAATAAAATGGTTGTCGGTTCATGGTGTGAGAGCCACCACAAATAAATAATTCCTTACCCTTCGTCTATCATTCCCATTACCACTATTTTCCCTCTCGCCTTGTTTTCATTTATTTTCCTATCCGAACTTCTGCTTCCATGCTTCTTGATCCCGCGCTTCGGCTTTAGTTCCCTGTATTTTCCCTTCTCGCGTAATCATCAATCATCTGCATCTTCTTCTTCCCACATTCCTTCAGTCCTATTTTCTCCTCGACGACGTCGTGCAGGAGACACTCTTTTGCAGAAGGGGTCCGATCCAGTTTCCTTTTTCTCTCAAGATGTGCTCAGTAGAGTCCTTTCTTCCCCACTCTTTTCAGCAACTTCTTCACTTGATATTTTGTGTGTCCACTTTACCTTCTTCATTTGCCTCCAGCACGCAAAAATCTCGAAGTAGTTCTTATCGTTTCTTAGAGTCCATGTCTACGATCCGAACAGAGCTATGATTCAGACGTAGAACTTTATTAGTCTCTTCCGCAAGTCAAGACTCAGTTTGCTCGTTCAGTAGCGTTCTTTCTTCGTGAATGCCGCCTTGGCACTTGTCCTGATTTTTCTCGTGCAGTATCTGTCTCCGGTGGCGGATTAATCTTACTGCCGTCCTAGGCCCTATCTAATCAGGCGCCCTTTTTAAAAGACAAAATTTACTTTTTTAATTAAATAGTTTGTTTTGAACTATTTAGATATATTTTCAATTTCTCGTAGGTCATTGAAGTAATAGCAAAGAATCCAAAATAATTTTCTGCATATTTCACGTTTCAAGTTCATCTGAGCATATTGGCATCCCTTTGAAAATATGATGTATGTGCATATATTATGACCGATATAGGTCAATATGGTCAATATTGGTCAATATCGGTCAATACTGGTTTAATATTGGTCAATATCGTTCCATATGGCCGATATTGACCAATATTAACCGATATTGATCAATATTGGCCGATATTGGCCGATATTGGCCGATTTTCACCAATATTGACCAATATTGGCCGATATTGACAAATATTGATCAATATTGGCCGATATTGACCAATATTGATCAATATTGGCCGATATTGACCAATATGACAATTGATTTCCATTCCGTATCTTCTATCCACTTCAACGATTCTGCTCATAATGTTTATGCAGCTTGTTTTTAGTTTTTTGATATCAAATATAGATATTAACTATATTAACTATATTAATAGATGTAAAATTAATAATAATTGTAACTTGCAAAGAAATAAAATATCTCCTGCAATTATTGAATCTTTTGAAGAACTTCTTTATCATATCCATGACAACCTTGAATAGATAATAGAGACTTTATTATTAATGTTCAATCTTCTTACAAAATCATTTTATTACAACTCTTGACTTTCTTCCGTAATGAAATAATTAATAATTTCTAATCTATTAACACTGCAATGAAATCTTAAATGAATGAATCACACATCCAATACATTTTGTTAACTGCAAGGTATAAATTTCTCTGGAAAACTTGTTAATCCAGATCAATTTATTTCATAATTGAACATCTCGTTACAATATATTTTCCACTTTCTATAGGTTGGATGGAGTTTTCAACACTAGCTGATTTGTTGAATACATTTTCCTGTATTTTCACATAATCAGCATATACATGTTTAGCAAAGTATAATTTATCCGTGGAAGTTTTATATGCGCAATGAAATGGTGAACAAATTGTTTATATAAATTCTCACAACTTCAGAATATGATAAGATACAATGATACATTTAAAATATCTGCATCGGAAATTGTCGTATTAAATATAACAAAACATAATTCATAATATATACTGATAGTATATGACATGTTGTCAAACCTCTAGAATTTCGTGTTCCATTACATGAATAAAAATGACTGAAATTCCGTAACAATTGAACAAGCAAGTACTGCAAAGATAGGCAGAGAAAAGATTTCTACCAGATATGATAATGGAGAAAAAAAGAAGCTGGATCAATCAAATTCATATTGGAAAACAAATGACTACTGCAAGACTTGATTGAGAAAAATTGAAGGACCAAAAAATCGAGGACGTAGGAAAATCCAGATTTTTGGTGCTTCAATGAAAGAATAAAAATCTGGAAATTAAAAGCAGAGGCGCAGTAAACAGAAGCATAGAAACAGAAGTTTCAAATAGAAAGTAATCTTTGATCAAGAGATGAAAAAGGCGTAAATAAAATCTCCCACCATGGGTCTCCCTTCAGGCAGAACACCAATAATAGAAATAATACTTAAACAATCCTACATCTAAGAACATATCGTGGGAACTACATGTCATAATTATAACGTTACAAGTCGACAAGTACTCGTTATATAATTATATCTATATTTAATTGTTATTAAAGTAACGACCAATAGTTAATTATTAATATAAAGATATCATATCATATATAATAAACTTAGTTGGATATTAAATTTTTCCAATGAAACAGAAAGTTACAACTCAAATAAAATTTAAATCTCTCGACGTATTTTAACAATATAAGTTAATAACAGTAAAACTTGCGATATTCAAGGCCCATTAATTCCTCCATTGAATATTAAATTAGTGAAAACAATAAAAATAATAATGACATTTATCGAGTAATATAGAACGGCATAGAAACTAAACCAGAACGTGTTAGAACGTAAAGCTTCGTCTGAAAGTTACTTGCTGTTTCGACTGAAGAAAGTGACTTTATACCAGTTTTTGTCAGGAAAAATCAATTTTAGCTCTATTATAATATAAATGATAGAAAAATACGTACAATACCCGATATAAACAATAAATCTTAAAGCCAATTTTATATAACAAGGTATATATTTGCTTTTTAACCTGATGAAATAAATTTAAAAATTTTAATTCCAAATTGAATTAGTTGAGTTAGTATCGCAATTTCTTTATATGTAAAATATATGTATTTTTAAATAATAGATAT